ATATTTAACTATTTATAAATAATATGAATTACATATATATATATATGATGACAACTATTTACGAACGAAGGGAGTATTATTTTTATATATCTCGTAAGTAAATTACAGCTAATTAGTAATCATAATTCATTTTCTTTTCCAATGGCACGTGTTATTTACCAAACGTTCAATTATTTAAACTAATTTGAACTTATTATGTTGTGTACCTTAATTATTTTAGTTGAAAATTGAACTTTGATAACCCTTATTAACTTGTCATAGCTTAGTTTATATGTTTTGTTCACCTTATTTTCACTTATTTCAGGTGTAATGAGTTTAGTTTACGAAAAACAAGTTTTGATAGAGGTTGTCCTAGCATAAATTACAACTAAAATAAGTTTTAAAAGGTCTAATAAGTTCAGATAAGATAAGATAAGTTCGGTTATATATGTGAAAATCAGGTGAATAGAATACATACATCCTAATTTTAATAAACTTATCTTATCTAATATTAATTTAATATTTATTACAACCTTAAATTTATTTATTGAATATATGAAAATAAGGTGAATAATAATAACAATAATAATAATAATAATGATGGGCCTGCAAAGCGGCATACTCTACTACTCTAGCATAAAATAATAAGATGCATTTGGTTACGCAAATATGATACATACAAAATGGAGATAGAAAATTGCGTTGTCATGTTTGAATTTTCAAACAATTGAATGAACTTATTAGTTTTTTGATTGAATGAACATGGGTAATATCTAATTTATAGTACCACGTTTAAATGATATAAGAAGAACATGGCTATGAGAGTAGACTATGAATTAGTGTTGACTTTTTGTTGGTTCCTAATTGTATTTTCCAGCTTAATTATTTCACTTTTATTTTGATGATACACTTTATTACTTTCTCCTCTAAACACCCCAACTTAAATAATTCTCACTACATTATAAGAATTATGTTATGTTGTAGCTAGCTTTCATTATTTCATACTAGCGTTTTATTTGAGGACTTCGAAATAATAGAAAATCTCACCGTAATATATTTCTATTAAAAAGACCAAAAAATGTTAGGATATCACCACATAATAACACAATTATTATTTTCTTCAGGGGGAATGGTAAATCAGAAAAAGTAATTTGAAGTAGGTAATTGCGCGTGGTCTTTGCGGAGCTTCAAAATGTGCATCATTTTTTGCCAATTTGGTATATAGCTTAGACAACTAACATGGGCAAAAGTAGGAATGAATGTTTTGATATGTGGATTATTGATTTTAAGGAGATTGAGGGCATGGGCAATGTTGGAAAGGAGCACATGAACTTGCTTCTTTTTTTTCCCCTTATTTTGTTGGGGGAATGGGCAATTTTGCTCAAATATTATTGTGCGTGCAGATATTTTTTTAGTTCAAATGAGCTACCAAGGAAATATATATACTTCGCATTTTAAATGGGGGTAGAAAAATTAGTTGTGACTATACGAGGCTGCAAGCTTGCAACCTATCATACACAAAGCTTCATTCTTAACGATGATCAAGCCAAAACCTCGTTGATTATTATTTTGTATTACTAATATAAGGGCACATTTTAAGGTTCAACATGATATTCATTGTGCATTAATACACGTACAAGTATGGAACAATCAAACTTTTATTTTTGTTCGCATACCTTATACGGATTAACTTGTAAGTAATCCGAAATATATAATCATAGTAATATGACGACATATCTCATCTGAGAAATATATTATAAATGAGGAAGCCCCTATTTGCCACCATGACCTTTTTGTAAATAATCAACACAAGAATCCAACCAGCATGTCATAGTTGTGATTATATCATTAATTGTAGACCTGTTTTTTTTTATTAAAAGTTGTTGATTTATTTACACTTTTGCCACACTTTTTTGTTTATCAAGGTAGTAAACTTGTATTTTCTCATTGAAAAATGTTGAAATGTATGAAAAAAAATACATGACATTTGCTCAATTTTTAGCATTTAAGGGTTATTGGTTAATAATCTATACAGGAAAGACAAAAATAGCCTTGTAAAATTGGTGAAATAGCAACTCAATCCTTGAAAAAACATGGAGTTAGACTCTACCAACAAGCGATCAAAAAGTGGCAAGTGTGTCAGAACAAGTAGCGAGGCGGACCCAACTGAATAAAGAGAATCGTAACGGTTAAATTAACCAAACAATTACAGTATTTTTGGGGTGGTGAAATTCAGGTGATTGACACAGAATCTTTTCACTGTTAAATATCACACATTCATGACACCCGTTTTTTTTTTTTTTTTTTTTTTTTGGGTGTCAAAGGCTAAACGCCAATACCAATAATTTTTTGAGGGTCAAGAAAATTATTTATAGCCATTAATAGTGCCAAAGGTTTATTCTTCTTGCACAAATTTGTTTAATAAGAGTTTGTCTAATTTTATGTCGACGTATATTGTTTGAATATATGTGGCTAACATGGTGGACTAGTGTCATCACTTTCCATCTAATATATATTTGAGATTTAGGAACCAAATTTTATTGGACTCATTGATGATTTTACAGCGGTCATTTGAAAAATGATTACCATATTATTTTAATGATATATAATATGATTAGTTCATTTTTCACGTTATAAAATGATCACAATTAGGCTTATAATATCTACAATGTAAATATAATTTTTGAAAATTTTAATCCAGCATAAAATAAATATTTTTTGAGAAACTATAAAATAAGAATAAAAATTACATAAATGAAACTGAAAATTTGATAAATTAAAAAAATTGTTGATAATACTATTTAATATAAAAAATAAAGTAATATAATTAATTATTTGAAAAAAATATGCCAACTATGAACTATATAATCATTAAAACATTATGGTAGTCATATTTCAAATGACTGCTATAAAATTTTCACAAATGAGTCTCCTTCTTCTAAAATTGTTTGATTGTATGTGAGCTTAACATTCATTCGTTTCACCTGATTTATTTACTTGACCTTTGTTGATCCAATTATTTTATCGATCCAAATCGGGTTCAAAGCTACTTACTAAAACAAAATTTTACTTCGTACAAAGTATTAATTAAAATTGATTTTCATTAATCATATATGATTTTGATTGTTAACAACTTTTTTTTTTTTGAATGTATAGATTGATTATCATATAACGACCTATATGTGAATTTTCCTTTGCCAGATTGAGAGAGAAATATAAATATTTATTACCTTAGAACTCACCTATCATATACTAAATTTATAAGTTAACCAAGACACATCAGGCTTGTTGTGTTCAGCTTAATTTTGGTTCAGTTCAGTTCGCTCCAATTAGTTCAGTTCAGTTCCTAATTTCCTTCTCTTATAAACAATTCAGCTCAGTTCAGTTCAGTTCAGTTTAGTGCAGTTCAATTCAGTTCCCAATTTTCTTCTCTCATAAACAATTCAATTCAGTTCAGTAAATTGGAACAAACCTGTAATAGTAAATTTTTCATCATTTAAAGGAACTTTACAAACATTAGATTTATGTATATGGCCATTGTCCTCGACATGAAGATAATATAAACTCTTGCATTTCAACCAATAAAAATTACGACCTTGCCAATTTTCTTGAATTCAAAATTACATATTGCATTTTAATATTCCAGATCACATAAAACCTTTTATTTAATTAACTAATCAAATTTTTTAACAATGAATACTTTGCAAAGATTTGAAACCACATGGGATGTCAGTTGATCTCAAATTATTAATGTTAAACACCCCAATTACAAATATACGGATACACTTAGGGTGCGTTTGGTTCGCTGGTTTCAGGAAAGGGAATGAGAATCATTCCCTTTCAACCTGTTTGTTTGCCACTTTTTCCCTCAATCATTCCCCCATTTCATTTTTCAAAATACCCCAAAACCCCTCTTCCCCATTCCCACCCCCCCACTTTCCCATTCCATTCCCCACCCACCCTAACCCTAACCCTAACACTAACACCCATATACGTTGGTGGTGGTCGGACGACGACTGTCGGCGAGAACCGGGGAGTGGTCGGGGAGGCTCGGCGAGCACCGGGGAGTGGTCGGCGATGTGGTGCTGTGGTGGAGGAGGGAGATCGAGCGTTGGGGAGGGGGGCTGGAGCATCGGGGAGGGAGTTTGAGGTGGTGATGTGGTCGGTGGTGGTCAGCGACCGTCGGCGAGGGGGGCTGGAGGGTCGCCGAGGGGTCAGCGACCGTCGGCGAGGGGGGCGCGACTGTCGGCGAGGGAGTTCGAGCATCGGGGAGGGGGGCTGGAGCATCGGGGAGGGAGTTCGACGGTCGGCGATGGGGGCTGGATGGTCGGCGACGGTCGTCGACGGTCGGGGATGGGTCGGCGACGGTTGGCGGAGTTCTGTGAGGGTTCGGCGGCGGTCGGAGCTGCGCTGTGGTGGTGGTGCTGTGGTGGAGAGAATGATTCCCTGGTTTTTGTAACAAACAACCTTCCAAATTTTCCACTTTGCCATTCCATTCCATTTCATTCACGTTGTTCATTTCATTCCGATTCTCTTCTGTGAACCAAACAGCCCCTTACTATAATGAGTTTGGTGAATATACAACTAATTCACTGGAGAACCGAATTAAATTTTTTTAGTAAAATTTTTTATTCAATTACCTTTACAAAGCAACATACTCTTAAAAATTAAGAAAAAATGATTTTTTTTAATATATTTTTTTTTTATGATAACATAAATAAATTTAAATATAAACAACATTATATTACTAATAGTACACATGTCTGACATAAGAATTTTAACTAAAAAGATCTGAAGTTGAAAAAGTTACCATTATTATTTGCTGTTTTACTATTAAACATTTTCTGTGCCCTTTTGCAAACCAGCTGGATTTGGGAACGGTTGTGGAAAATTCCCTTAAAAAAATCACATGCCACAAATTATTTTTTTTATTTTTTTTCTTAAAGACCCCAAATAAAAAAAAATCTAAACTTTATATTTTAGCTTTATTTTTCTTGTCATTTCTCTCAATTTCAAGCCTACCTCTGTTCTATATATTCTCCCCTTAATAATCTCAAATACCTCTTCCTCCTTTCTTCTTCCTCCTACTTTTAGATTTCTGGTTTTCTTTCTACATTTTCTCTTTCCTCTTTCCTCTTTCCTCTTTCTCTCTCTAGATTCTTCCTAAAGTCCCTAGTTTCTGCTCCCCTGTTTTTGCTCTATTTTTGGCTCTGCTCCCCTGTTTTTGCTCTATTTTTGGCTTAATTAAAGTCCCAAAAATCTGAGCTTTTTTCTCTTGAAAGAGAAAACCCATCTCATAAAAATCCAATCTTTTCTTGTAATTTGCATAAAGATCCAATCTTTATTGTTCTTGAGATCTAAAACTCTGTTTTTTTACTCTAATTTGCAGTTCATGCTAAAGAAAAATCTGGATTTTTAATGTATGATATTAATGACTCCAGTTCTTAGTGAAATTCTTCGTTCTGGGTTTATGATAAATTCCTCTTTAAGGCGCAGGACCCACTTAGTTCAATCTTTCTCTGTTGTATTTCTTTACTGGTTCTATGTTTTCTCATAAATTAGCCTCTCACTTTGCTTAATTTTCATCTTTATATTTAATTATTATAATCACATAAAAAATCATCAAAAAAAACTTTTTTTTTTTTTTTAATTTCAAAATTTCTTCATCTGGGTCCTGCGTCCTGTAAATTGTATAGATTTATAGATATTTACAAAAAAATCCCATCTTTTAATTTTGGTTAATTTTGATTGATGGCGAGTTCGAGCAACAATTCGGCGACGAGCAGTCAGATTCAGAACTCAGGATCTGAAGGAGATTTACAGCAAATGATGGATGAGAGGAAAAGGAAGAGAATGGCGTCAAACAGAGAATCAGCAAGAAGATCAAGAATGAGAAAACAGAAGCATATTGAAGATCTGATGGTTCAAGTTGATCAATTAAAGAGAGAAAATAATCAGATTCTTCAAACTACAAATCTTACAACTCAACAATTTGTTAATGTTGAGGCTGAAAACTCTGTTTTAAAAGCTCAAATGAATGAGCTTAACCAAAGGCTTCAATCCCTCAATGATATCCTCAATTACATGAATACCCTTACTACTGGGATTAACGGTAACGGTCACGGTCACGGAAACACCGCCTTCGAGGATCATTCTTTGGACATTAGCCATGATGATTTGGGTGATTTTGGTTTTATCAATGGGTATTATGGTAATTTCACTCATAATACTAACAATGTTATTGGTGCTAATAATCCTTGGAACTTGGTTTATCTCAACCAACCTATCATGGCTTCTGCCGATGTCCTCCAATATTAAAAAAAACTAAAGAAAAAAATGGCCCTCATATTTTTTTTTTAATAGATTTTTTAGTATTTGTTTGAGGCGAAAGTTAGGCGTGGGGCTTATTATTGCAAATTAAGTTCCGCCAGGGTGGAAGGCTAATTATGAATTATAATTAAGTGGAGGGCTAATTCTATTTTTTCTTTTTTTCTTTTTTTGTTTTAAAAAATTAATGTCATCAATTTATCATCAAGTGACTCTACAAGGATATTCACGTGCAAATGACGGCTCTATGGTGTTCTAGAATGTTGTATTTAAGTTGTTGAATGTAAATTTATCATAGAGGCCTTTTTTTGACGAGGTTTACATGAGTAAAAACTTTGTGATGTAAGAATTGATCTCCATGATAGCTTTAGGCTAGGGCAATTAATGGGGATGATGATATTGATGATGTAATTTGGAATCTTAAGATTTTTATATTATATATTGATTATATTAGCGACCTTAATCATATTGATTTATTAAGCCTTTTGTTGTTGCTTACCTAATTATTTGATATTTAGCTTTACCTCAAAAGTCGCATAACCTTTGTCTTTACTCTCAATTATTCCAGGTGTATCTGTTATATATGGATGTTTCATTGCGTATCATGTTAGGTAATTAATACGTGTAAATGTTTTTAATTACCATTAATTAATAGATCATAGTTAGACATGAATTTAGGGTAATATTGGTTTATAGTAGTTGCCTATATATTAGGCAATGAGACAGATTCATTTCTTATAGGCAAAGAAAGAGTTTAGTGCAAATGTTCAAAAACTTAGTTTTCAAAAGTGTTGAGTAATTTTGGTAATTGATTCTAATATGGAAGGCAATTCCAAATATTTAACGCTATGTTAAGTGAGGAGTGAATTTGATATCACCAAAGTATGTAATTTTCATGTGTTTTAATCTCCAATGTTTTAGTTTCATGTTTATTTATGTATTGGCATTTTATTTTATGGCAATAATGACATCAACAATCCATCAATTATTCCAAAAAATTTAAGGTACCTTCTTCAATTCTTTTGGCTTTAAGTGTGTGTGAGGGTGTTGTTCCAAGGAGTAACTCGTGCAAGGACGGTCAATTACTTTATATTCTAGCAAAACAATTAGTTGTCAAAAAGAAATAAAAAAGAAACAATTTTAACAGTACCCAATATATATAATTTTTAAATTTCTCTTATTTGGCATATGTAGAGATTATAAGAATGAACACATTATTCTTAAGGATTTTGACTAACTTTTATAAGTTAAACACTCAATATATCAAGCATGCATTTACTGAAAAAGGACGGGTCAAGGACACATATAAAACTCGTACATCTATACCTAATTGAACTAATTGTTATAAACATTATTACCATTTAGGTAATTTTGAATATGTCATACGTTATTTAACTCTATTTATAAATCATACATGGGAGAAGAAGTAGATAAGTATTAACTAGTAAGACGGCTTATAATACTAACACACTAAACCCTTTCGAAGATGGTGCGCCAAGTATATTCGTAACCTTTTAATCAATCTTTATGTATAACGAAATGATCCATGCATGCAAATCACTTAATTAGCTCTATTTTATCAATGGAAAATAGAAAGTATAAGCACTATCAATTAATAACTTAATACTAAAACAGACACCGGGAGTGCCATGTGTCACATTCTGATGCTGTTTTTTCCCTCCAAAACTCCCCCTTCCCTTTTAGCAAAAAATATTTTATTTTTGGAATATTTTTATAATAAAACTATAATAATATTATTCCAAACTTATATATTATCTCTATATAAAATGTATTCCTTTTTATTGTGTTCTAAAATTTTCCATGCACATTTACCTAAAATAGTTTTTCAACTCTTTTTTAGTTATCTTTTAAACGAGTATTATTGAGTTTTACCGAAAAATAATAATAAAATTGATTCATATCGAAGTAATTGATATTAAAGAAATTACTTTAAAACATCCCTTTAATTTTTTTTTTCTTTCAAATTCCTTTTTATTTTGTTATTAGAGTAATGGAGTATTAGATATGACCATAAAATAAATGTTGTGTTCGACAACTATATTATATGTCTAATTCGAAAATGTAAAATATCAATCAATTTTGTTATTACATTATTAAAAAAAGTTAATAGCATAGTAAATACAAAAAAGTTATTATCTTTTAATGAAACACTTTATTGAGATAATAATTTTATCATATTCGACATCCATAAATAAGCTGCATTTTAAAAAACACGTCGGACATAGTGACAAGTGAAATATTCTCGTGTTTTTTTTTTTTTTTTTTTTTTTTTTTTTGGGATGAATAGATATCATCGACAAGTAAAATATTAAGGCAATTAACAAACAATAATCAAACTAGAATTATTAGATAGCTTTCAAACACATTTTTATATAATAACAAAGAGCGACAATACCATGTAGAGTATCAATCCATAAACAGAAAATGTACTACTAATAATATAGGTTAGTGTTGCCTAACTATTGATTGTTATTGCTTTTAATGATCTTAGTAGTATTTATTTTCATTGAAATTATTTTATTAGATTTAAAGATGATATATTATTTAATTTGTAATTTATATATTTACATGTATGTTGTGCCAATAATTTTACTGTAGATTTTTGTTTGTTGTTTGATTAATGTTTTGATGTTTATTAAAAGGTATTTATAAATAAGTCTTTAGTCATATAGTCACTAGATTGTATAATTTTATTGGGAATAATATGCATTATCAATGTAATATAATGTATACTGCTTTTAAATATTTTCAACTCAACTAATCAACAATAAATTTTTTTATTTCTCAATTTGCCTTATTATTTTATTTTTTTAATGCATTGCATTTGTTTATTCCATATAAATTGCCTCATTTTTATATTATATCAAAACTCATTATGGGAAAAAGATCATTACTAATGGGCACTAATCTAATACAGTATATACTCGTCCCATTTATGTCTTATATGAATGATATTAGCTACAAAACTTTGATCTTAATTGGTTAATAAGATAAAATATTAGATTACATAAATATTTAATTAATTAAAAATAAAAAGCGTCAATAAGTTAAAGAACAATCACACTGAGTGTACTTTTTTTTTTTTTGGGTTAATGCACTTGCATGAATTGTAGTAATTTTTTTTATAATTTGTGTGGCTTTTATTTTTAAGAAGAATTTATTTGGCTTGTTCTTCTTCTTTATTTATTTTTGCATTTTTTAAAAATAAATTAAAAACACAATTAGAATATAGTTTTACAGGATATCCTTGTCGTCCACTAGTATAAGTTTGACTTGTTAAATTCAATGTACCATGACATAGGGTATCAATCTGGCAATTTTTTTTTTCAATGTACCATGATATTTGATATAGAGTATCAATCTGGCCAATTTTTTCCAAAAAAATTGTCTCCTCTTATTTTATAAATTTTGATAAATTAATACTGATCAACTGCAGCACCGCCCATAATTTTTGACAGGTTTGTATTTATTACATACAACATAATTAATAAATGCCAATCAATTATCAAAATTACTTCCTTAAATTTTGAATCAAATGTTTTTTCGCATGTATTCTAATCTTTCCATTTTTCTCACATGTGTAATTATTGTTACAAGTCATTATAATTAGTTATTCTTTACTCTTTCAAGGACACTAGTTCAACTCTATAACATTCTTACACTAAAGTATTTCGTTATATATAATATTCAGATTCACCATATCAAGCTTGAACTAGCTAGCGATATGAGTTTGCGTCTCATGACTTGAAAAGAATGTCATGAGATTAAATCCCACTAGTGGATCCTCTCTAAGGGCAGGGAGTTCCTTATCCTATGCTTTCATTACTTCCAAACTGTTTGACCTATAAAGTTAATTAGATTAAATTGACTTGTAAAAAGTGTTAATTCAATAGAGTACGTATTTCTCCTTCCCTTACAAGTAAATTTCGCTTTATATATTTGTACAACCTTGATACAAGTGGTTTGCTTAGCTTTTGTAGCCTTCTTTTGGCAATAAAGATTTATCCAATTACGTATAAGTAGGGGGAAGAACCACTAAAATCATGAGAAAACAATCATCTAACTCATTCTAGCAATATAAAATAATTTAGCAAGACTGTATTAGTAAATAATTTAAAAAGTGGTTTGAACACCTTTCACAACTCTTAATAAGGCATGCATGCATGCATGCATGCAACATATTAAACAAAAAGCCAACATTAGGAACTTATCATCACTATAAAAAATTCAAGGACAATTGATCTTAGAAATTATAATATTTTTTCGTCAATATCATTTGTCCTTTATGACCCTCTTTACACCAATATATGTATAGTAACTTTAGGTCTTTGTTAATTAAAGAAAGCTTTCGTAAAAAAAATAAAAATAAAGGAAGCTAATTAAGAGGGTATTCATTAATTTTCACACCGGCATCACGTTGCCGCATAAACTTATTGGTTAGTGATGATTAATCCTAAATAGATAATCTGTCAAAATTGGATGCTTGACAACAATACAATCAATTTGGATGGGTTAGTTTGTATGTTAACGTCGTATAATATAATATTTGCTTCAAGAGTGAAGACAGATAAGAGAACTAATAATATTGTTGAGTTTGATGAGTTCACAAATCACAAAACACAATTAAAAAAAAGATTAATGTCGTCTACTTTGTATAGACAACAAAAAGATGATGTCGTATGCTTAAAGTGTGCCAAAATTGAAGAAATTAACCCACTTGAAGTTAGAGGAAACGTAGCTGAAAGTCTAACTGGCTAATACAAGAGGGGGGGTGAATTGTATTTGAGGTGGAATCTAAAAACTTTTTGCGAAATTTAACTAAATGAAATAATGACGAGAGAAGATATAGGCTTTTCTAAATTTCCACTATGTAATCAAACTCTTTACAAGTGAAGATTCAAACCCGTTAACAAGTTCCACAAATTAGGAACTTGTTCCCAACTCTCACAGAAGCCTTCAGCAACGAAGCTTCCTTGACCTCACTTTACAAACTCACAATCCCAACCCCAAAGTACTTGAATACAATCTGTGATTACAAATACCTATTGCACTCAAGAATATAAGAAGGATAATAACTCTCTTTATGTTATTAGATGGCTACTGGAATTTTTATGCTCAAGAGTTATGTTTTTCTGAGATAGTTTGCATGAGTATTTATAGAGAAGGCTTAGTCATTAACCTCCACTATAATCACGTCCACATGCCAACACCCCACTAACAACTTGTGGAGTTATCTTGACAGATGGTGATCATGAAGGAGGTTTCCTAGCCTTATCTCACTAATCCACTATCTCAACAACTTGATAAACATTAGCTATGAAAAAAAAAACGTATAATCAGAGATTTTCGCTGCTTGCTAACTTTATCAAATATTTGTTTAAAAAGATTATCAAAAGTTTGTTTAAAAAGATTTTATTTGAAAAGATAAATTTATTATTTATATTA